TGGTTCTCATACCTTAACTTGAAATAAAAGCAGAAGACAGCCACATTACTGACTCACACCAAGAGCCGATGCCATGGGATTGATGGAAAGACCCCCACTGGTTCAATGCCATGCTTAAGTCATAAAAATCAACACTAAGTGTCCCTCAATTTCCCACAGGCTGAGGAACTTTGAAGATTTTTAGATATTTCCCTCCTCTGCCTGGGAATTCTTCTATCCCTCCTCCCTCAGGTCTCAAGACAAGGCCTCCAGCCTTTGAAACTGCATCCATTGTAAACAGCTCTGAATATTAACACAGCCCAGAGTCCTGTTCTCTTTTAAAAGACCCCCAGGGTTTCAAACTGCTGTCACTGAGGAGGGGGAAGGTCCCCAGTGAGTGAATACCACTAAGCTCAATCAAAAGAAGTTGAAAGTTAGGTTTGCTCATGAAACTTAAAGTCCTTCAGCCTATGGGGTAAGTCAGAGGAATCCCTCTGAGTTTTAAACAAATGGAAAAAAGAAGAAGAAAAGACCCTGGTACAACCACATCCTTACTGCTTATAGAGACTTTCAATTCAATGAATCCCTTTTTTAGAATTGCCTGGTCTGTAAATGTCACTTTAAAAATAACCATAGAGCATGTTAATAACCTCTTTCCGGCCTTCCCTTGCTAACAGACCTTCAGGGCTTTAGCAGGTGCACAAACTGGGCCAGGTGCATTGTTAAGTCACACAAAACCCAAGTGCTCCCTGGCATTCCTGTCTACCCTGAAAGAGAGGATGCTGAAAAGACTTCGCACCAAGGAGACACCTCTGCAGAATGGGGAAGAGGCCCTTTCATTGTGAGCAGGGGTGTCTGAGGGAGAGAAAGGTCAGTCAGAGGTCGTCGAAAAGTGCTGGGGAAGGCGGCATGGGAGACCCAGGCAAAGGAATTAACACTCGAAGAGGGAAAGTTGCAGCCTGAACTTCAGAGCTGAAGGGACCCCCCCCCCACCAATCCACTAGGAACCAGCTCTGCTACATTGCACGTTATCACCTTCATCCTTTGGAGATGTTCCCAAGAATTAGCACTGGAGATACATTAAAAAGTCTAAAGTTTGTGAAATCTAGTGCCCAAATGTAATTATTGGAAGGGATGAGCACGCTTCTTTCTCAAACAGCCCCTTGAAAGGGGGCAAGAACTGCTCGGACACATCCAACTGATTACAGGGAACTGTGCCAACACATTCATTGATGTTGCGCCTGGTGGGGCTTGGGGCCCTTCCTAATTTCACAGTACTCTACAGTTAGATTTTAAAGATATCATTTCATATTGGCGGCTTTTAAATAGTGTATCTTTCTCTCCAAGCAACCAAATTTTATTTGCCAGAGACTTCCCCTTACTCAAAATAGGCTGAAAACTAGTAACAGACAGCTGTTCCATCGTGGAGAGGGCTTCTGGGCCAGGCTGTTGACACTTGTTGTAAAGAAAAGGCCTCTGAACTCAAGCTTCAGCCCCCTACTATGTTGGGGGCACTTAGACTTTTCAGATTCTCTCTGCCATCACCCCGTGTTTAACAGGCTTCTATTCCAAACCATCCTTTGCCCATCCCTACAACTCAGATGTTCAAGGTCCTCCGAGTCCTTGTTAAGTGATAGGACCACAAAGGGAAATGGTAGACGGGAAGATGTCAGGACAATGCAGGCAACATCCACTTCTTAAAAACACACATGAGAAACCCAAGATAGGTTCTAGAACAATCAGGTCATCTGCACTTCAAATAATTTGCATAAACAGGAAGGGAATTACTTTCCAAACCCTTAATTCACAACACTCTGCACACCTGGGCCTCCCAGCACAGCTGTAAAATTTGAAAGACAAAGGCTCTCTTTGCTTCAAGATGACAACGGCAACCAGAGCTTGCGTTCATTTTCAAATATAATCATAAGCACGACTAACTTGCCAAAACCCACAAGGTTAGATGTAAGCCACCAGGTTTGGCACAGCAAACACATAAGGAGACATTAACCAAGAGATCCAACTCAATACCCACATCTTCAAGTGGCTCCGTATAACCACATCTGGTATCTGTAGTGAAGGCCCTTGCTTCTGAATGCCGTATCATCTTCCCTCCACATGGGTAACAAGAATTACGGCCTGTTCTTCCTTCAGGGCCTGCCCAGTTTCCTACCACAATCCCACCAAGGCCGCCATTTACTATTTAAGCTAGCAACATTCTGTATTCAACATTATGCCACTAGTAAGGGTCTAAGGTAAATTGTATTTAGAACTTCTTAAATATCCTCTAAAGCCATGTTTTCAAAAATAATTTCAAAGAAAGCAAACATCTGAGTTCTAATAAGTTCAGCTTCTTAGGTTCTGGGAAGTTGGAATAGGCTTGGCAGTGCTTGGTGCTATTTATGAATTGCTGGTTGCACGATGCCAATCTCACCTACGTAATGGCATGGCAGAGTCAGTTATGTCTTGACTTCTACAACTATAAGTTGTTGTGCTTAAGTTATCCTCAGGCCCTGGGAATGAACACAGTTTCCTTCTATCAGCTCCATTATATTTCTTGTATTAAAACTGCATTTACACTCACTATTAAAAAGCTTTACTTTCCTTATGCTAGACCTAGGAAGAGATGCACTGTTACAAAAGCAAAAAAAAAAAAAAAAAAAAAGTAAAGAATAAGTTCCATAAAGCATCAGGTCCCCTTCTATCTCAAACCCAGGGCCTGAAATTGTTTGAACTAGCTACAGTAAATCTAGTTCATGGGGTTATAAACCAGCTCAAAGCATTTCAAGACACAATGAACTCAGAGGGTGTACACTTGGTGAAAAACTATAAGATATTTTATTATAAAACATACGGAGACTTTCTTCCCTAAATTCTTGCTGAATCAAGGCCAGGAATATAACCTGTGTAACTACTGATGGAAATGAAGAAATCTGAAACCTAGGGGGAAAAGATTTGCTTGATTTTTCTTTAATTACAAAAAGAAATGACTTCCCAAATAATTTTAAAACAATTATCCATTTTGCACTGAACACCAGATTGCTACACACTAACCAGAAGTCTCACAGTCCATATCTTAAAATGTAATTGGTTAACACCACAATCAGTATAATCAAATCTACTGAACTTCAAACAGACTGGTGTTTACTGATCAAGTCAAGAATACAAAAGTTTAATTTTAAAGGTATTCATGCCATGTGAAATGTCATACCTAGGCAACAGAAAGCCCAAAAAAAGACTAAGTTTTGCTCCAAAAATTAAAGGGCAAGGCAAAGTGGATCTTGTGACCGGAGGAGAGTGCAAACAAGAAGACACCCTATACCCACAGGGAAGGCACCACTACTTCTGAACTAAGTGCCTTCCCCACAATGTCACTGACACGTGGCACTGGGACTGACTCTTCCAACAGATAAACACTTAAGTTACCCTGATTCTGCCCACAATTTTTTTTTTTTGTAACTACCTTAGAAATATGTAGGGGGAAAACCACAATACTCCAGGCTGCAATACCCTAGAGTGCTATGACTACATAAACCACCACCCAAAGCAATGCTGGGTTCTAACCTCCCAGTACTTAACAGCCACTGCCCGTGTTAAAACCCACATTATGACCACCGGTTTCCACTCAGTGAGTGAGTACTACAGGATACTGAAGAAAAAACTTAACCTTAACTAAATTATCCAGCTTCAGAACTATGTCATGTAGCACAGACCAAGTTGAAGACCTTGTCGAATTTTCGGGGGTACAAGACCTTCACGTTTGAGAGGAATTAGCTTATCTCTCCTCATGGCAGCCAGATATCCAGACCTTACTTTCTCAGAGCAAGCCACAGGTGTTGGTTAAAATTTGTGTCACAAGTGTTGTTTCTCCTTTCTAAGCAGTGAATGTCACGCCTGAAGTTATTACTGTGTCACTTCTATATTCTAGAAAAGATGTCCTACCACTCAACTAGGACATCTAGGCCTCTTCTGGAAGGTACTAATAGTTTCAAAGAGACGCTAATCACTGATAACTGGACATGATTTTGACTCATGGATCAGATTTGCTATAGATAAAAAGGGCTACTGCATTCTACCATCTTTGAGTCGTTTAATTTTTTTTTTCCTGTCCAATCCCGCGTAAGAAGTGTCCCATCAAGTCCTGGTCGGCCAAAATCTTACCAGCACAGAAACCAAACTCTTTGGGGTTAAACTCTGTTTAAATCAACCAAGTCCCTGCAGCCTCTCCTGAAGGAGAACTACTCCAACACTAATTTGCACCACTTAGGAGAAATTTTGGTGAGTGAGTGGGCCCCACCCCACTCTACCAAGCGGGCGCCTGGGGAACAGACAGGAAGGGTCTAGAGTGCCAAACAGGTAGAAAAGGACAAATTCCCAGGAGTCACAGATCTCCAGGAACTCCCTGAGCCCCTGACTCGGCTGTCCTTCCAGCGAAGGCTGCCTTCTTCCCCCACCTGAGCCAAGCCTGGTCCTGGGGGGATGAGAAAGCAGCTACAAATAAATAATGTAAATGGAAGACTGGAGTCAAGAGTCACCTTCATTCATTACCCACTGGAAGGCCAAGGAGCTCAGACACCAAAAGAGTAGGGTTACAGGAGAAAGAAACACATACCCGCAGACCCCCAGACGGCCTTCCCCACACTCTCCCCTCCAGATGTTTCCCGCTGTCCACCTACACACTTGCACACAAACACTCTCGCTTCCAGATTCCTCACTCACATTCCCTCACCTCCAGATTCCCACTCACTCGCTCTCAGATCGTCCTCACTGCAAGCCCCACGAGACACTTTTTCTCCTCTAGACTTCTCACGCGCGCGCTTTCCTCTCAGGACCCCCACGCACAAGCTGACCACTATGACCCGACGCTAAGTTTTCCAGCCCAAACAACTTCACACACACACACACACACACACACACACACACACACACTCTCCCACACTCCGCACCCCTCAGGGAAAAGAACCGCCGCCGGCCCTTCCCCAAGTGACAGCACCCCGGGGCGCAGGGGCGAGACCGGCACTCACAGGCTCCGCGTCCAGGCAGGCAGGTCCCCGGGTAGCGCCGTCAGCCCGCGCCCGCCGCAGTCCAGCGAGGTCCCAGCGCAAGTGCAGGCGGCGGCGCAGGGAGTCCGCGGGCCGGCCGTGGCCAGCGCCGGCTCCAGCCCCAGCAGCAGCAGCAGCAGCAGCCACAGAAGAGGGGACGAGCGGCGCGGGACCCCGAACGTTCCCGGGACCGGCCGCGCCATCTTGTCTGGAGCGCGCCGCGAACTCCGGCTGGGGGGCTGCGAGGTCCCGGACGACTGCAGGCACGGGCGGGCCCCGGCGGCTCCACTCGGCTCTAGGCTCCGCTCCGGGGCATGGCCGCCCGCACAACTTCTCTCCGCCGCCGGGCCCCGGGGCTCAACGGGCCCCCAGCGCCCGGGCCGCTCCGCAGCGCCCGGTGGGGGGCGCGAGCCCCGCGCCCATCCGGGCCGACCCGCCCGTTCACGCTGCGAACTCCAGGGACCCCGGCAAGGGTGTTCGGCTGCGCCCCAAGTCCTCACGCCGCGCTCCCGGCCGGCCCCGCGGCCCCGCGCTCGCCAAGTGCGGCGGCCGCCGCTGCCCGCGGAGAAGGCGCTCAGCCTCGCCGCCCCGGCCCCGCAGCCGCGGGCATCTTCCTCGCGCTCCTCGCGCCCCGCTGCAGACCCCGCTCCACCGAGCGCCGCCCCCGGAGCGCCCGCAGGGCCCGTGCGGCTCGCGGTCCCAGCGCCCCAGGCGGAGCGCGCGCGCGCAGTTCCGGGCGCCGCAAGGCTCCCGAGAGCAGCGAGAGCCCCGCCGACCTCGCCGCCGAACAATCAGCCGCTCGCCGCTCGCCTCCCCGCGGCACTGCCCCGGCGGGTCCCCGAGGCCCCGCCCCCGGCCGCTCGCCCGCACACACCCCCGGGCTCCGCGCCCCTCGCCGCCCCACGTTGGAGGCTTTGCCGCGGCGCCGCGCCACGCCCCCTGCCTGCTGTTGATTGGCTGCCGGAGTCAACGGCGGCCAGCCTGGAAGGCCATTGGAGCGCTCACCATGATCCCGCCCCTCCTGCTTCTCGGGGCACCCCGCCCCGCTCGCTTTTCCCACCCAAGGTGTGAAGGGCGGGGACTGGGCGGGGAAATGGAGGGACGGCCTCCGACTCTTAAAGGGGAAGTGTTGGCTGTTGGTGGAGAAAGGGGCTCGAAGTTGGGAGGAGTAAAGATCGCCGCTCGGGATCTGGGGGAGGAGAGAAAGTTGATGAGAGTCGCAGGCCGGCTCTGTAGAGCTGTCTGGCACCATGATTTCTTCCCTCAAGAGACTCCAGATAGGACCCAAGATTTACAGCAACCTGCACCCATTTTCCAGGTGCCCTCTAGGAGTAAAGATATAGATTTAAAATTTCACACTTTCTCTACTCATTGGAGTATCATTAGTTATTTCCTTAGGGGTGTCCCCCTCGCATGATCGAGCTCCTTTCTGCTCCTGACTTGCTCTTGACGTCTTAAATCTAGCAATATGTCCTTGATTAACAAAATGAATGTGTAAGGCAGAAACCAAGGCTCAAAGGTGCACACACTCCATCGCTACCTCTGCCCTAGCTGATGGACCGGTAGTTCTGGAAACGTTCCAGCTTTGGCTAAAGGACTGCTTTGTTTGTCTATTTGTTAAAATCAGCGTCTTTTAAAGCCAGTTTTCAAGAAGCCATGGAGTACCCTTAAAAGAGTAAAAAGAGGAACAATAATTGTTGCAGTTTCTGTTTGGCTTTTGCAGATACCAGTATAGTGGCCAAGTGTTATGACAACGCATGCAAACTTTAAAGCAGATGTGTACACACACGTGCGTGTGCGTGTGTATACACACACACACACACTTTGTGATAAAAGGAAAAGATTGGCACAGTAATATATAAGGGCCCCTCTGGCCATTATAATTTGCCTGTGTCTCAGTTCCCCTCCTAGAGGAAGCACGTTCCTAACATAACTGCACACATTGTACAGAAAGTAAATTCTGCAAAGCAACATTTGCTCTAGCAAATTCTTTTTAAGATTTGTTTATTTATGCATGCAAGAGCTGGGGTACAGGCCAGAGATGCAGGGGGGTGTGTGTGAGAGGATTCACCAGAGAGAGTGGGGAATAGAACAGGCAAATTGACCGAAGCACACCGCTGAGGGGAGCAGCAGATGAGTCAGGAGAGGTCTGCTGCACCATGTGGGTTGCTCCCTGGCCGGGCTGGGGATCGAACTCATGCTGCAGAGACTGCGGATTGCTTCACAGTGCAGTGCTTAAACCCTTCCGCCACCAGGGAGGCTCTGCTCTAGCAAATTAAGCCTGACTTGTGTTTCATGAAAATGGAGGGCAGCAGATGTTTCTCAAGAAGAAAAAGCAAACATATTTAAACGGTTTTCAATTTTTGACACATTCTAAAGGGTTTATTTCACTTGAGATGCACTAAATGTGTTCAAATTTTCTTTAGCCATAAGGTAACCTCTATTCTTTAAACCAATTGGGTTTGGGCCTGGTAACAAGTTTCCTTTCTTCTTTCCTCTCCCCTTTTCTTGATTCATCATTGTAGGGTAAGTGATTATCAGGATTTTCTGCCCTCCGACCATTTAGGATTAATGACGGATCCCAGTAGTCCTAAATGCATGCCTGATGGCGGACACCTGGAGTAGGGTATGGGCATGCACAGGTGGGTACACCTGGACTGAGACTGGCTTTTAAGGGCAGTGTCCCGGGGACGCCAGCAGGAAGAGAACCAGAAGAGAGAAAGAGAGTAGCAGCATTAGAAGCAGAAAAGAGCAGAGAAGAATAGCAGAACAAGAGAGCAGAGGATGAGAAGAACCAGCAGAGAAGCAGAGACCACGAGAGAACGTCGGAGAGCCCAGAAAGAGTAAAGACTTGCCGGGGACTGGAGGCCTGCCAGCCTTCTGGACCCCCTGCACCCTGCCTGCCATATACCTGGTAAACTCAATAAAAGCCTGAAAAAGCCACTGAGGGCTCCAGGACTCTCCTTCACCTGTCTGCTCTAATCATACAAAATCTGCACTGTGCCCTTCCTGCCACTACAATCATGGTACAGATAAGGGGGCCTTTCTCTCTCTCTCTCTCTCACTCTCTCTCTCTCTCTCTCTCTCAACAGTGATGCCTAAGGCAATTCTCAAATATGTGTAAATCTAGCCAATTATGATTCTCAAGAATCAACAGACAAATGCTACATGTGACCCATTCTACCCAAGGCTTTAACCAGCTTCTGTATTCATTTATAACACACATAAACACACACCTTCCATCTGGAGAAGAAGAAATACATCTCTGGTGCAATGTCTTCTGGTATAATAATAATAGTCAGAGAATAGAAGTCATAGGACCCCAAATTTAACAAGTCATCTGTCAGTATTTCTCATATTTTTCAAGAAAAAGAACACAAAACAGTAATTTAATAGAAGCTGCCCTTGAACATTTTCTTAAACAAAAATGTCATATCTTTCTCACCTCCCTCCCCCAATAAAATGGCATATGCAGCAAAACTTTATTAAACTCACTGAACCTCTTGGGCTGCTGGCCTAAAGTTATCTTTCAGGTTTGTTGCATTATTAGTACTGAAAAATGGATATGTATTGGCAAATATTTTCATAATGCTTATGTGTATACCTATGAGATGCTCTTTGGGGACATGAGTGTTCTGAAGGATAGGGTTTGAGAATATACAAGGTAAGGGTGTGCCCACAAATCTAAAGCATCCCCTGTGGTCTGGTTACCACACAGCCAAAGAGAAGGATTCCAAAACCCAGGAACACTTGGGGGTACTGGGCGCCGAGCCTTGGCAGTTCCTCTGTCTACAGCAGTGCATGAAGTCATGTCTGCTCCCCATACCATGTGTGGAAGCTTGCCCACATACTAGCAACCTGCCTGTGATTGAAAGGAGAGCGTGGGCTTGGAGAACAGTGATGTTGAGCTCAGGGGAGAATTCATCAGAGGCCACAATCTTAGTTGAGGGAGAAATGACCACCAACAAGTTGTAAGGGAATCCGTCCCGGCTCACAAAGGAGAAAGTATTTGGTCCTTTCAGCACCAGCAACAGTTAGCTTAGGTAATCTGGGTCCTCCTTTTGCTTTGCTGTTATCCTCACAATTTAAAATAGTTACTTGCTCGTTCAGAAATTTAGTCTGTTTTGATCTACCAGAGACCAAGGTTTAGCATAGACTCAAGTCTCCAATGAGAATTATTCCACATCTCTCTACCTACAGAAGCCCTAACCATTGGAAATAACTTGAAAAGCTAAACAGCAAAAAATGTAAATAGCCTGAAACCACCAAGAGGGAAGAGACGCAAATGAGAAATAATGAAAAAGCAGGTTAATTACAGGGGTTTTTAAAAATAAAAACAAAACTTCCAGGGAACTAAATTAGGGTAGTTTGTTACAGTTTTAGGTGATGATAATGGGTGATTTTAAAGGATGCTGAGATTCAGAGATGCTTGCTTACTGTTAAAAAGATTTTGCATTATGTTCAGTACATTAAAAGAGCATCAGGGTAGCATACAGAAGCCCTGGAGCCTAACCAGGCCTTATTACCCAGGAAATTTGTGCCCAGCCGTTCTGTAAGCCTCAGTTTTCTCCACTGGAAAATAAGGATCATTGTACTTTTCACTGAGTACTAAGACAATTAGGAAAGGATCCATTTTGATACAAGATAGGAGGAACTTTATGGACTATTTAGGTCTATGTACATCTACGGTTTATTTTTAAGGTGTTATTGATTTTAACTCTGATTGAGAGCAGGTACAGATGTAGATGAAAAACCTCTCCAGCAAACTTTTTTTTTTTTTTTTTTCAGGAATGCCAGTTAATAATTACCAATAAAGCCCCTGAAGACTTGCAGAGTGATGACAGTCCTTTGAGCCTGTTTTTTCTCTCTCTTCCCAGGAAAATGAGGCTGTGTACTCATTAACTCCTTCCTCAAAGTAATCTTGTCAAATAGATGAATTGATGGAGAAAGTAAGAGAGGAGGCTAAAGGTTCGGGGATGATACATTAAAAGAGACAATTCTGAGGTTTCTCTGTCCCCCGTTCCAGCATTTTCCTGGTAGAGGGATATGTTTGATTATGCAATCTCTGGTTGTTGGAATATTGGTTAAGACCAACCAGTGCCAAGTTACAGCTGCTGCATTTCCCCAGCAAGAGTGGCTATTGTCTGCGGCTCAACTGCAGCCATCTATAGGTGCCTGCTCCCTTCTGCAGAGCAGCATGGGCCAGGGGAACCAAAGACCATTAGGGTTCACTTTCCAACACAAA